TAGTCTCACTCTGATGGAAAGAAATGCAAATTAAAATAATAATGTGATAGTGCTTTACTCTACCAATTAGGCAAATCTTTAATTCACAATAATCATGTATGTATCCCTGTTCTTCAGTGAGCTGGTCTATGCAAACCTACCCTTAAAGCCTGAGGGAGCTGAGAGGCAGAAAAAGGAGGCTGACAAATCTAGTTTTCCAGAAAGAAACATTTAATAGAAACTTAAGAACAGAAGCCATGTCACAGCAGCTACCAGAGGTGAAGGTGGATCCCAGCACTGTTACACTGCCCTGCTAGGGCTTATGTGTAGAACCATAGAAGTCGACAACCCCTCAGGGAAAGGCAAGAATTTGCCTAGGGGTAGGATTTATGATAAGTACTGTTAGGATAACATTAAGGCTGTTTTGACCTAAGGGCAAAATTTATGGTAAGTACTTGGCAGTAGATAAACTAGAAATTTTAGAGGAATTCCTGCCACCAGGGTTAATCACAAGTCAACATGGCAGTTTAGCATCCAAGATGATGTTGCTTTAGCCTCTGTTTCTCGTATTTCTTTAATGTGTGCTTTTGTCAATGGAAAAAAAAAAAGCCAAACTTTGTAAAACAATTTTAAAGAGATTTACTCTGAGCCAAATTTGAGGACCATGACCTGGAGCCATGCTCAAGAATCCTAGAGCAAGTGGACTCGATGTGTCTGGGTTATAGTTTGGTTTTATACATTTCAATATGGCTTACATAGGATGTCCTCAAGAAGGGAGGGGGGCATGATAAGGCATGTCTGATCTCTGTCCTCTTGGTAGGCAATTTAGTTTTAGGATATTCCTTTGGCCACGCGGGGGTCCATTCGGTCAGCCAGTGTGTGTGTGGGGGGGTAAGCCTTAACATTTTATTTTAGTTCACACTTTTTTTTTATACTTTATTTTTATTTATTTATTTATTTATTTCTTATTTCGGCATATTATGGGGGTACAGATTTTAAGGTTTCAATAAATGCCCATTTCCTCCCCTCCCCCCACAAGTCTGAGTCTCCATCATGACCATCCCCCAGATGGTGCACATCTCACTCATTATGTATGTATATACCTGCCCCCCTCCCCTCCACTGCCCCATACCTATTACTGTAGTACCTATGTGTCCACTTAGGTGCTACTCAAGTTAATCCAGTTTGCTCGAGAATATACTGGTCTTGTTGTTTTTCATTCTTGGGATACTTTCACTTAGTAGTATGGGTTTCAGCTCTAACCAGGAAATATAAGATGTGCTATATCTCACATTGTTTTCTTAGAGCTGAATAGTACTCCATGGTATACATATACCACATTTTATTGTTATTCTTGGATTGTTGGGCACTTGGGCTGTTTCCACAGCCTTTGCAATTATGATTGTGCTGTTATAAACATTCGAGTGCAGGTGTCTTTTTTGTAGAGTGTCATTGGATTCATTTGGGTAGATGCCCAGCAATGGGATTGCTGGATCAAATGGTAAGATTCTCTTGTATCGCTTTAAGGTATCTCCATATTCTTTCCACAGAGGTTGAACTAGTTTGCAGTCCCACCGCAGTGTAGGAGTGTTCCTCTCTCTCCGAAACCACGCCAGCATTTATTGTTGGAGATTTTTTGATAGAGGCCATTCTCACTGGGGTTAAGTGGATATCTCATTGTGGTTTTGATTTGCATTTCCCTGAGGTTCAGAGATGTTGGAGCATTTTTCATATGTTTGTTGGCCATTCTTCTGTCTTCTTTAGAAAAGTTTCTGTTCAAGTCCTTTTGCCCATTTAGGCTTTTCCTAAATTCATATTGATCAGTTCAAGGGTTTTCTTGTTGATCTTTGGGGTTTTCTAGATAACAATATCGATACATCAGCCAAACAGTTGAAAGTTTGATCCTTCTGCCCCTTTTGGATACCTTTTGATTCCATTTTCCTGTTTCCTGTTTCCATTTCCTTTTTAATGGGGTTATTTGATTTTTTCTTCCTGATTTTCGTGAGTTCTTAAGTATATTCCTAGTTCAATCAGTCCCTTATCGATGCATAGAATGCAAAATTTTCTCCTTCTGTATGGTTTGTCTGTTTACTTTCTGACTTTCTTGCTTGGCTGTCAGAAAGCATTTGTAGTTTTGTTGATCATGTCCAATTATTATTTTTGTTTGTGCTGTGAATTGCTTTGGACTTCTTCATAACATTTTGCCCAGGCCGATGTCTACAGTTTTTGCGGAGTGTTTTCAACTTTCTTCTCTAGAGTTCTAATTAGTTCATACTCTAGGTTTATAGTCTGTATCCAAGCCGTGAGTTGTTTTTGTGAGGGTGAAGGTGTGGTGTCTGTTTTTAGCCTTCTACAGGTGGCTATCCAGTTTTCCCAGCACCATTTATTGAAGGGCGATTCTTGGTTCCCAGCGTTATATTTTGTCTGCGTTGTCAAGATTCAGATGGCTATATGAGGATTGGTTTATATAGGATTTCTCACATCTGTTTCCCACCTGGTCAATATTCCTATTTTTTGTGCCAATTCATATTGATTTATTATACAGCCCTTTGTAATATGTTTGTATCTTGGATATAGTATGCCCTCCCGATTTTGCCTTTTTGTTGCCGAAATTTGCTTGTGATATTGGCGGTCTTCTTTGGTTCCATACAAAGCATTAAATTATTATTTTCTATCTGTGAAGAATGCTGAATGGGGATTTTAACAGGTATTGCATTGAAATCTGTACATCAGTTTGGCGTAGTATTAGACTTTTAATGAATGTTGAGTTGCTGACCATGAGCATCGGATGATTTCCATCTGTTACATCCTCCTGGCTATTCCTTCTCAGTGTTCCATAGTTTCCCTTGTACAAGAGGTTCTTTTACGTCCTTCCGGTTAAGTATATTCCTGGGTAATTTCTTTGTTGCTATTGTGAAGGGAATTGAGTCTTTGATTTGGTTCTCAATTAGATTGTTGTTGGCGTATACGAATGCCTCTGATTTCTGTGTATTGATTTTGTATCCTGAGCCTTTTCTAAATTCATTGATCAGTCCAGGAGTTTCTTGGTTGAATCTTTGGGTTTTCGGTAGGAACAATATGCATGATATCAGCAAACAGATGAAAGTTTGATCTCTTCTGCCCCTATTTGGATACCTTTGATTCCATTTTCCTGTCTGATTGCTGTAGCCAAGACTTCCAGCACTATGTTGAACAGAAGTGGAGATAGTGGGTAGTTCACACTTTTTATAGACAAAGCTAAATTTTTAGGTGTTAACACAATGAAGATTAGTATATCTTCCTAGAGAATTTTTTTTAAAATAATAACTTCACGAAATTATTTTTTCATTAAATAATATCACTTTGGGCTCTGCCTGGTGGCTCACGCCTATAATAACTCAGGGAGGCTAAGACAGGAGGATTGCATGAGGTCAGGAGTTTAAGATCAGCCCGAGCAAGAGCAAGACACTGTCTCTCCAAAAAATAGAAAAATTAGCTGTGTGGTGGCACATGCTTGTAGTCCCAGCTACTCAGGATACTGAGGCAGGAGGATTGCTTGAGTCCAGGAGTTGGAGACTGCTGTGAGCTAGGCTGACAACATGCTACCCTAGCCTGGGTGACTGTCTCAAAAAAAAAAAAAAAAATCACTCTGCTATCAATATTGGAAAAACAAGGGATGGGATGGTAGTTTTGTCTGTAATATATTTTTCTCTATTCCTTTTCTTCTAAATGTTCTGTGCCAACAAGTTTTGAGTGGACATTTTATAAACAAGATATAACCGTGTTTCATTTCTGGTCCAGTACTTCTTTTAAGTGGCAAATTTAATCCGTTCATCTTTGTTTCTGTTACTGAAAGCTTGGCACTTGTCCATGAGGCCAAATCACAAGAACTAGGACAAGTAGTTTAACAGAAGGAAAGAGATTTATTTTTTTTGCCGGTAAAGGGAGGAAAAAGGCAGACTATTGTCCCCAAATCCAATTTTTTCCTCTCCCGTAAGCGAAAATACAGAGCTTTTAAAGGGGATGGTTCTCAGGTTCAGGGTGGTATTGTCTGCTATTGTTGATGGTTCTGATCCCTGCATCTCCAGAACCTGTTGGGACCCCCACCCCACCAGTCTAGAGCCAGGTGAAGCTGTCCAGGATCTTCTCTTTATCTCCTGCAATGCAAAGAACAAAGAAAACAGTCCCATGGCCTGCCCAGCTGCTGGCCTTGGGCAGGGAAGCCAGTTTTATTGAGAGCCAGAAAATTTGCCCTTTTTTTTTTCCGGGCTGTCCTCTATACATATTCCCCACTCTCAATTACACTTCCATATCTATGGGAGGAGGGGCCGCTACTCTGTTACATTTTGATATCAGATTTATTTGAACTCATTCCTAACGTCTTATTTTACATTCTAATTTGTTATGCCTGTCCTTCCTTTCTTTCACGTTTTTTAGCTTTCCACTGGACTCACTGATTTTTTTTATTACCGTTTTTCTCTACATTCATTTTATTACCTTAATGATTACTTTTAATATCATAGAATATACACCCAACTTAAGCAAATATAACTTAATCAGTATGCCTACCCTCCTTATAAACAATACAAGGACATCAAAATGCTTTGTTTTGGTTTAGTTCATTTCATTTTCTATAATTATCATCCAGTGTTTTTGGTTCACTATTTTTTTTTTTTTTTTTTTTTGAGACAGAGTCTTACTTTATTGCCCAGGCTAGAGTGCTGTGATGTCAGCCTAGCTCACAGCAACCTCAAATTCCTGGGCTCAAGCAATCCTCCTCCTCAGCCTCCCAAGTAGCTGGGACTACAGGCATTCGCCACCATGCCCGGCTAATTTTTTGTATATATATATTAGTTGGCCAATTAATTTCTTTCTATTTATAGTAGAGACGGGGTCTCGCTCTTGCTCAGGCTGGTTTCGAACTCCTGACCTCGAGCAATCCGCCCGCCTCGGCCTCCCAGAGAGCTAGGATTACAGGCGTGAGCCACCGCGCCCGGCCTGGTTCACTATTTTTTTAATACCCTAATAAATATTACTGTATTTTTTTTACAACTAGTATATATATTTAGATTGATTTACACTTTACCTCTGTCTTTTGCAATATTATTGCGTCTTGCCTCCCTACATTTTCTTCTGAGTTCATTTCTATTTTTTAATAGAAATTCTTTCATGATGCACTTGTTGAGTGGCAAAACTTCCCAGTCTTTGGCCATAAATTATTTACTTCACTTTTACACACACAAAAATAGTTACGTGAGTGAGAGAATTTAAATAGAGTTATTTCTTCCTTATTTATAATGTTGCAAGGGAGGCAAAACTTTACTTCTTCCCTCTTTGGATTTTTTTGGTGAGGCTTGAGAATGATAATAAATTGACATAAGACAGATCAGCAGGGGAAAAGCATACACATTTATTGAATACAAGTTTTATATGGCACAGGAGCTTTCATTAAAAAATGAAGACTCAAAGACGCGGTTAGAATGGAACACTAATACACTAAATTGGACAAAGAGCAGTAAATTGTGAAAATGTGACAAGACAAAGGGGTTTGGGTTAAGGGAGTTAATTGGGTGGAGAAGTAACTTAGGAAGGTAAGAATACGTTTAACAAGGTTTGTTTGTACAGATTTCTCTGGATCTCAATTCTCTGTCCTCAATGAGAAGAATGATTCTTTGTGGTATAGGGAGGGCATCTTTCATTTCCTGCTTTTAAGAAACAGAAGGAAGGTCAGAGTGTTCTTGTACCTGCAATTTTTCAAGTGCCTTTACCTCAAAATAGTCAATATGCCAGAGTGGCATATTTGAGTGCTGCATTCTGAACTCCTTCAAAGTGATTTATCATAATAGGTAAAGAAAAAAAAGGAAGCATATATTTGTCACAGTCACTGCTAAAGTCTAATGGTTAATAGACAGTATTTATTTTAAATTAACAACTCATTAATCTTGGAATAACAAAAGTCAAATGAAAATCTTATATCATGCTTGAGAGAGGATCATATTATTTTAATTATAATTAACAAAAAGTTGAAAGAGTCAATATCATTTCTATTTATTATCATTCCTGATTATTAGACAATGCATTTAGAAAAGGTTAATTATAGAAAACAGTAAGGCAAAATTATATAATTTTTCTGCTCACCTAGAAAACTATAGAGAAAATAAGTTAGAAATAGAAATGACAGAATTAAAAAAGATAAATACAAAAGCACAACACAAACATCATTAACTTTTCTGTCTGTAAAAAATGGTTAGTAAGAAAATGTAATAAAAGAAACCCTTCTAATATTTCCCAAAAATAACATAAAAAGAACACCTGGTGATATATTCCATGAAACATGCATAAAAACTCCATAGGAAAATCATAAACTTCTACAAGAGGCATAGAAAAAGTTTCAAAAAAATCAAGAAACATGTATCCTTACATATGCATTCCATTTTTTAAAAAATCTTATTTTATTCTGTATAAGCCTTTAATAGGATTGCATTACAGCTGAGGTTCTATCTTGTAGTCAGGGAACTCCTTTCCAGCCTTCCCATAGATGCTCTGTTCTTTGGCAAGTCTGGGAGTGAAGCTCCCCTTCCTTGATGGAGGATTATTTACATAAATTACTTGAAACTCATATGTTTAGATTTGTCTTTTATCCCTCACTTATTCAGTATTCTTTACTGATTTTAAAATTTCACATTTTCTATTTTCTAAATGTTATCCAGTTTTGCTTAATATATCTTTGCAATTTTCTTGTCAGTTTTAAAAACTCTTCCTTGCTTTTTTGCCCTCCCTAATGGCATGTCTCAGGCATGTCTCATTCAGTATTTATGTAGATTAAATCAAGGGATAATTGACTCTTCTATAACTCGATTGTTCTTATTCAACATACGATGTAGTTTATAAGACTTTATGCTTTTTCCTACTGGCTTCTTCATGTTTTGTTACATGTAGATCTTGTCTCTAGGAATTACTTTTTTTCTAGAGGTAAACTACTGAATATTTTACAGTAATTTTTAATTTCATTTTTGACAATCTAACTGGTAATTTGCTTTTCAATTTTTCTCAGTGTTTACGGTACAAACAGATCAACATTTTATTGTCCCAAATTCCTGAATTTCAAATAATTGAAGTCTTCTTGTCACATTCCTGCCCGAGACTGACACCAGTGTCTTACCATCACACATGGTTAAAAGGCTGCTTCTTAAAATACCTTGTTCTATATTTTAAGAAACAGTTTATTCAATAAATGTGAAACCACAGGTATCAAATATTCATATGTGCTCCTTTACTACACTTTAAGATGAACTTGCTAACTTTTTACCTGTATGCCATATCTAAAGACTTCAAGATACATTTGGAAAGAAACTTTTTTAGAAGATACTTCATACAACCTTCTTAGACTGGCTGATATACTGTAGGATCGACCCAAGTTAAACAGGAAGCTGTTAAGATTATACCTTCTGTTTGTTGTAATCTAATTACTCACATACCTAATCCTTAACCTATTTAAACATAATCTCTAAAATAGGAGAACCCTCATCACAATACTTCAGAAACTACAAGGTTGTCACATTGGAGTAAGTCGCCCCTCAAGTCCTCCAGAAACGTGTCGACTAAAAATGGGATTGCTGCTGCCAAAAGCTTAACAGGCTGGTTTCCTACATAAATTAGGTATGAAAGTAGGTCACTCCTGGCAGGCCTAAGTCCACTGGCTTTTTGGCTTTCTCATTGCTCGAAAGCCTTAAGCTAACAGCGTTGATTTACTGTTTATTAGGACAAGATTCTTTTGAGAATTTTGACAGATGTTTTCAGCATTGCATAACTACAGCTCTTCTTTGAAGTGGTAGGTGGCTCTGAAAAGAGCCTTTTTTGTTGGTTTTACCTCCAGACGTTTGAGTCACTAACATAGGCTACCTGGAGAAGTTACTTGCTCTGGACTTTGTGGTGGTGACCCTCAGTCTTCTTGGGCAGTAACACCGCCTGGATGTTGGGCAGGACGCCACCCTGCGCGATGGTGACGCCGCCCAACAACTTGTTGAGCTCCTCGTCGTTGCGGATGGCCAACTGTAGATGTCGCGGGATAATGCGAGTCTTCTTGTTGTCGCGGGATGCGTTACCTGCCAGTTCTAATATCTCAGCGGTTAAGTACTCTAACACCGCCGCCAGGTATACCGGCGCGCCACCCCCAATCCGCTCAGCATAGTTGCCCTTACGAAGTAAGCGATGGATTCGACCTACAGGGAACTGTAGGCCTGCTCTAGATGACCGAGATTTAGCCTTGGCGCGTGCCTTACCACCCTGCTTCCCGCGCCCAGACATGGCTGAGACCTAATAAAAAAAAAAAAAAAATGCGGCCATTGGGATTAGGGACTGGGCCTATTTATAGCCTGGCAGCCGTTCTGATTTGTTATCTGATTGGCTGATGCAGTCTAGCCAATCAAAAAGCCTCACTGAAATCACCTAATTTGCATATACGTCACCACCCATCATCCAATCAGATACTATATTTTCAATACGTCATAAAGGTCTGTGCCTATAAATATCGCCCTTTCCAGCCTCAGAAGTTATTGCTTGCTTGGCGTAGCTTGGAGCTGTAGAGCTGTCACTCTAAGAGAGCTGATAACCATCCAAAGCTGATAACACTGTAGAGCTGTACACTAACCATGCCGGAGTTGTCCTCAAAGGGCACTACCATTTCCAAGAAGGGATTCAAGAAGGCAGTTACCAAAACTCAGAAGAAGGAGGGGAAGAAGCGCAAAAGGTGCCGCAAAGAAAGTTATTCCATTTATATTTACAAGGTGTTGAAGCAGGTACATCCAGATACTGGAATCTCTTCAAAAGCCATGAGCATCATGAATTCCTTCGTTACTGACATCTTTGAGCGCATTGCAGGGGAGGCGTCGCGCTTGGCTCATTACAACAAGCGCTCCACTATCACTTCCAGGGAGATCCAGACAGCCGTGCGCCTATTGCTGCCTGGAGAGCTGGCCAAGCACGCAGTGTCTGAAGGCACCAAGGCCGTTACGAAGTACACGAGCTCCAAGTAAACTTGCCAAGTTAGCTTTAATAACCCAAAGGCTCTTTTCAGAGCCACTCACACAAACATAAAAGAGCTGTGGGCTGACGATGAGAAATTTAGTTTGCAGTTGAGGGTTGCAAATTTCCTGACCCTTTTTTTGAATATGTGCTGTAACTTACATAGTAAAGGCTGAAAGTATCAGGATTGTCAATAAGTTGAGCTTCTAGGAGCCTTAAGGCTGGTATACCAGCGTATTTGCAGGTCGCTGGGATTTGGAGCCCCGAAACGTGGGTTTTCCTGGTTTTAGGTTTGTGTTTACGGCATGTTGACAGTAATGTGGAGATACATGGGAACCTGCAATCTGGCCAACCAATCAAATGGGAAACACGATTTACTTTTTTGTTCCCTTAAAAATTTTAGCAAGATCGCTTTTTTTAAAAAAAGGTTATTAGAAGTGGTTATATTCTGTATTGGAGCAGGTAAGCATCAGAGTATTCAGTGGTAGCACTTTGAATTGAGCCAACTTGAGAGATCAAATTACTTCAGGAAACGTGGTTAGCTGCAATCTTTCATTAATTACTGTTTTTTATCACATAACTTTGCATTTATTAAGAAACGTTACGAATTTTGGTAAGACAAGTATATACTAAAAATAAAGGTCCCTCACATTTCTATGCACGGAGACAGCCCCTGCAGAGGTCTTCCATGAGCTGGTAGCCCTCCAAGGTGACTGGGCATCTGTGTCTGGATTGTTTTGGGGGTGCTTTCTCTAATCAAGAGTCCCAACTGCCTTGAGATCTTGGGAAACCAGATAGCACACAGCTCCCAAATAACCTATCAACTCTTTGACCACTCTGATTAGGCTTCCCTGATTATCCAAGGACTCATGATTATTCAAGTAAAGGGCAACTGGGAATGCTAGGAAAGAACATCTCTTTTCAGACCAAACCTGTTGTATTAATAGCTTTTGTATTAGGTATATTTGTCTACAAATAATAGGGAGTGCCTTCTGAACTGGTTGAGATAAGCAATAGCACTAAAAGGATGTTCCATGAGTAGGACAACCAGAGCCCTGACTCCACTGCCCTGTAGTTTTCTTGTCTGTCTCTACACCCTGACTTTACTCTCATGCTGATCCTAGTTCCAAGTGTTTATGCAGATAAGACAAAGTAAGGGCAGGAAGAGACAATCGATTCCCCTGGATCTTGAGAGCAAGGAAACACTTCTTAGAGGACTTCCTCCTTCTCAGGTACATTTTCCAGAACTGAAACCACATGATGGATGTGGATCAATCAACGGCCTTCATATATTTATCATTGAAAAAAATTAAATGTAGTTTTAGGCATTTTGTTTTTGTTATTGTGAGGTGTTCTCTATTCATGTGCTCTAATATTTGTTTTACATGAAAGATTGCTTTCTGTGCATCTTTTTTATATCCTACCGCTATCTCATTGACTTATTTTCATATTAGTTTTCTGGTAGATTCTGTTGGGTTTTCCATGTTTGTAATACAGGTTGAGCATCTCTAATCTGAAAATCTTGAAAATCTGAAACTTTTATTGTATTATGGATTTCTTTGGAAGTCTAGTTGAACCTATACACATCTTAATATAAATGCTTACAATAAGGAATTTTAGTGATGAAACAATATCGGATTGAAATAGCTTTCAAAATATTTTTTTTTTTTTGAGACAGAGTCTCACTTTTGTTGCCCAGGCTAGAGTGAGTGCCGTGGCGTCAGCCTAGCTCACAGCAACCTCAAACTCCTGGGCTCAAGCGATCCTCCTGCCTCAGCCTCCCGAGTAGCTGGGACTACGGGCATGCACCACCATGCCCGGCTAATTTTTTGTATATATACTTTTAGTTGGTCAATTAATTTCTTTCTATTTTTAGTAGAGACGGAGTCTCGCTCAGGCTGGTTTCAAACTCCTGACCTCGAGCAATCCGCCCGCCTTGGCCTCCCAGAGTGCTAGGATTACAGGCGTGAGCCACCGCACCCGGCCCCACAATATTTTTAAAGTGTTGAATATAGTAATATTTGTCCTTTATTTGTGCTTTTAATAAGATCTAAAATACTATTTTAGTACGCACATTATGAAAAACAGTATAAAGGTTCCTCAAAAAATTAAAAATAGACTATCATATGATCCAGCAATCCCACTACTGGCTGTATAGCCAAAAAGAAATGAAATCAGTATATCAAAAATACCTGTACTCTCATGTTTATTGCCTCATTATTCACAAACAACTTAAGAGTCCATCAACAGGTAAATGGATAAAGAAAATGTGCTAAATATAAACAATAGAATACTATTCAATTTTGAAAAAGGAAATCCTGTCATTTACAACAACATAGATAAACTTGGACGACATTATATTAAGTGAAATAAGCCAGGCACAGAAAGACAGTGGAATCTAAAAAATCTGAACTCACAGATGTAAAGGGTAGATTACCAGGGCTGGGGTAGGGGAGGTTTGGGGAGATGCTGGTGAAAGGATACAAAATTTCAGTTAGGAATAAGTTAAAGAGCTCTGTTGTACAACATTATGACTATACTTAGTAACAATGTATTATATTCTTGAGAATTGCTAAAAGAGTAGATTTTCAGTGTTCTCACCACAAAAATGAGAAGTATGTGAAGTAATGCATATGCTAACTAGATCAGTTTAGCCATTCCACAATGTATACATGTTTCAAAACATGTTATACAGAATATATACAATTTTTATTTCTCAATTAAAAAATAAAATAATATTTTGAAGTTTTAAGGAACAAATATTTTGAGATATCTGTAACTATAGTTAAGTGCTAGAAATATACCTGTGATTTTCATTGGCAACAAAATTATAGGTATGGCTAATATGACTGGTCTATTGCCTATATTCATAATTGAAAAAAACATAAAAATTTCAGTTAATACCTTTGTTCAAAAGACCACCAGGATGGCTGAATAATACAAAGGACAGCAAACTAGGAACAGACAGTCTCTAGAGTGGACTATTGGTGCTCCTTCTTGGAAGAGGAAAAGGGCAGGTTGAATTCTATGCCTCACAGGGTCTGTATTACACAACAGAGTCATACATATTCAACAGGTTTTGGGAAAAAGCTATACATACCTATGAAGGATATCGAGGACATGTCCCGTGGGTAAGCATATATAACATATATCCCACATTCACTTGGGGGCAAGGATTTAGAATTAAAATGAGGTGGAATTTGGCTCTTTGTGTCAAAAGATGAACTATAGGATGCAAAGACAATTTGTCCACAGTCTCAATAAAATGGCTTGGGGTGTACAGTTGCTTATCAGAAAAATGTATTTGTAAAGCGGGTCCTCTGTCCAACCAGATTTGTAGTGGTCTAGGTTGTAATTCAAAGTTTACGAAGGGTCTGATAATTTGACTGATAGCACCTACTATTAGGGAGTTTAGCAAGGGTGTAGTTTTTCTTGTAGCCATAGGAAATTAGGAAGGTGTCATGCCAGCTAACCCCTAAACCCTTGGTGGTAGGTGACTTTTGTTTACTTAATTTTAAGGTCCATCTTAGTTGATTAAAGGGGCATCCATTTTGGTCTCTCAGATTACATTAATGAAAATCAATATATTTTGATCATCTAAAATTATTTTGTGGGGTAGAGAGAGGGAGACAAGATTAGGGGCAGTGAGACTAATGAGGGACTGTAACCCAGGTGAGAGATGATGGGTACTTGAACAAAAACAGTGGCAGTGGTGATGGTAAAAACCAATCAGACAACAGAAATATGTAGGAGGAGATATAATCACTATATCCAACAGATTGAAGTGGAAGTTGACCAGAGGGACTATCAAAGAAAAATGACCATATTTCTGACTTGGACAGCCATGTGAATGGGGTAGTTCCAATGGATATAAGTAACATGAGGTTATAACCTGAGTTATAGTAACATGAGTGATAGTAACATGAGTTCTATCAGGATACATTGCAAATCCCTGTGGGGAGAATTTTGAGATAGTTGAGAAATATGGGAACTGTGATGTAAGCAGTTGAATTTATTGGTGTGAAATTTATGAAGAGCCCTGGACTGCAGATATAAATTTGAGTCATTTGACATAGATATTTAGAGGAAAGGATGTGGTTCAGATTGTCTAGAGAGAGAGTTTAGAGCTACACTGTCCAATATGGTAGTCACTAGCCATAAGTGACTACTAGTCACTTGAAATGTTGCAAGTCTGAACTGAGATATGACTTTAAGTGTAAAATGTACTCTGAATTTTTAAAAAAAGGTAAATTATAATTTTTATCTTGATTGCATATTGAAATTATAACATTTGGATATATGGATTAAATTATTTAATTAAAACAAACTTGTTTCTTTTTTCTACTTTAAGTGTTGCTACTAGAAAGTTTAACATTATATAAGTGGCCAGTATTTCTAGGTTACATTATATTTCTAGTGGACATTTTTGACATTAAAAACTTTTGCTCTGTAAAAGACACTGTTAAGAGACTAAAAAGACTGATCACAGACTGGGAGAAAATATTTGCCAATCATGTATCTAATAAAGAACTTGTATCCAGAACATATATTTAAAAAATTATTGAAATTTGACAATGAGAAAACAAACAACCCAAGTAAAGAATGGGCAAAAGATCCAGACAGACATCTAAACAAAAAGATATGCAAATGGAAAATACACATAAAAAGATGCTCAATATCATTTGTTTTTAGAGAAATGTAAATAAAAACAATAAAAACTACTACACACCTATCAGGATGACTAAGACCCAAAATATGACATTAACAAATGCTGGCAAGCCTGTGGAACAACAGGAACCTTCATTTGTTGCTTGTGTGAATGCAGAAAGGTGCAGCCACTTTGGGAGACAGTGTGGCAGTTTTTATAAAGCTAAATATACACTTATCGTATTACCCAGTAATCATCTTAGTATTTACCCAACTGACTTGAAAACTTATATCCACCAAAAACCTTGCACATGAATATTTATAACAACTTTACTTACAATGGCTAAAAACTGGAAGCAACCAAGATCACTTCAATAGCTGAATGGGTACACAAAATGTGGTATATTCATACAATGAAATACTATTCAATGACAAAAAAGGAATGAGCAATTGATCTATATAACAGAATGGGGTGAATCTTAAATATATGCTGTCAAGTGAAAGAACTAACCTGAAAAACTACTACATATTTTTCAGCTCTAGAGTTGACAGGGATTTGGGGGCTGTACAGATATCTACTGTCTTCCAGGGTTTTATCATGGCAGCTAAGACTCCCTCCCATACAATGTGGGCACAGATGCTTCATCTGTCAGCTGCTTGGAGGAATGCCAGCTAAGGCATTGTGGAGTTTCTCACTGTGCATAGAACTGGGGGACATTTTTTATTTTCTGTGGGTTTTTATTATAATTTTCTATCAAATGGTACTAAAGTTTTTTTTAATGTAAGGAAAGCATAAATGTAGTCTCCAAGTCTTAAAAAAGACAAGAATTAAAATATATATATATATATATATATATATATATATTAATCAAATCGAGAATTCCAGCCTCAATTCCATAGGTTTCTAGGAAGTAGTCATAATAATTTGATCTCTTCTTTTTAAGGTCATCTATTTCAATGCCTTTTATCACTGATAATATATTTTTAATGCTTATCTGCTCTTGGAGAACCGAGTGCAAAGGGTCATGACAGAGTGGATTTTGCAGCCCAAATCCTCTCAGCATACAATTTTGATGTATACCCTATGGTCAGATTTGAAACATTTGAGTATTCAAGTCCAGTAATAACAGGACAGAAATACTATTTTTAATATCCTATCATAGAACAGAAAAGACATGATCCTACCATGACTTAGAGAAGTAATGCAAAAATAGAAGAGATTCAGTCAAAATTACTCCCCTCAGTCAACTATGGTTAGCCAGGTTGTTGGGTTCCAATATAAATTACTTGATATGGAAAGATCTCCACCCTCCAATATCAACCTGTTTTCAACAGAACAGTAGACACTCCAGTGAAGTGTAGAGGACATAATCAGACCAAGAAACCCTGAGCTTTGGGCCTCAAACGTGGGGGCAGCTAGCCTGGTCAGTAGGAGGAACTTCACACACCATGGGCAAAATAAAAAGGAAGCAGAACAGTCTTGTAACATGTTGTAGTCAACAGTCTTGTAGTTTATAGGCATATTCAGTGCTAGGCTTCCCCAAAGTCTTCCCCGATTCCACACGGCTCTAGGTTATCTGTGCTTCTTTCAAAAGGCTCCCTTTTCTGACTTGCTTCAATTATTTCTGAGTTTGGTTGGTGTTAAGTTTAGATACTCAAGTTATCTATTCTGCTTATTCTCCCATCATAACATGTAAGAAAAAGAAAAATATGTTTTCCATCAAACAGAAACATATTTGCTGGTCAAATACAGCAAATATACTTGCTAGCCCAATTAGTTACTACAGCAGTGAGGCCTACTCGTATAAAACGAAACACCCAAATAAACAGCTTACAGCTCTAGTAGTAAGTGTAGGTGGCTCTTAAAAGAGCCTTTGGTTCACGAAGGTCATCTAGATAGTGGCTGGATCATTTTACTTGGAGCTGGTGTACTTGGTGACCGCCTTGGTGCCCTCGGACACGGCGTGCTTGGCCAGCTCTCCCGGCAGCAGCAGGCGCACCGCCGTCTGGATCTCCCTGGAGGTGATGGTCGAGTGCTTGTTGTAATGCGCCAGGCGAGAGGACTCGCCCGCGATGCGCTCAAAGATGTCGCTGACGAAAGAATTCATGATGCTCATGGCCTTGGAAGAAATACCAGTGTCCGGATGGACCTGCTTCAGCACCTTATAGATATAAATAGAGTAGCTCTCTTTGCGGCATCTCTTGCGCTTTTTGCCCTCCTTCTTCTGAGTTTTAGTGGCGGCTTTTTTGAAGCCCTTTTTAGAAATAGTAGCGCCCTTTGAAGCAGGCTCCGGCATAGTTGGTATACAGCTCAAACTGAAGTCAACGACCAAATGGCGTTGAGTGGAGAGGGAAGTGTGGTATTTATAGGCACGACTCTCAAATGACGTCTTTGGGATTCGACATCTGATTGGATAATAGTGGTGGAGTGTATGTAAATTAGGTGAAAACGGTAAGGTTCTCTGATTGGATAGTCAACTATCAGCCAATCAGATAATAAATGACAATCTTCAGTCAGACTATAAATAACCTGGGCACCTGCCTTAACTGTTTCTTTTAGTGTTATAACGGCTTTTTTAAAGTCTGGGTGCTGGAAACAGCGGGGAAAGGCAGGAGCTGTGGCTGAGTCCGGTTCATCCGGAGCTGGCCTGCAGTTTCCCATGGGCTGTGTGCCTACCATCTGCTCTGCAAGGGCAACTATGCCTAGCCCATTGGGGCTGGCACACCAGTGTACTTGGCAGCAGTGCTGGAGTACCTGATTGCTGAGGTCCTGGAGCTAGTGGGCAATGCAGCCCGAGACAAGATGTGCATCAAATCACATCACCAGTAGCCGTCTGCATTGATTAAGAGCTCAACAAGCTGTTGTGTGGCGTTACTATCTCTTAGGGTGTTGTCATGCCCAACATCTATCCAAGCCATGCTGCTGCCCAAAAGATTGAGTCACTATCACAAAGTCCAGTACAAACAGCCTCACAAATTATAAAACTCACGAATGACTTGAACGTCTGGAAGAAAAAACATAAAACCCCGAAGTTGAAACCAAAGGCTCTTCAGAAGCCACTCAAAATTTCTGAGAAAGAGCTAAGGTTTACAAAGAACAATAACTAATGATTCAGCAACAACAAATATAATTGACCTCAACTTGAATAAACAGGACTCTTCAGAAGTATCTAGTTCTCATGATTGGAATATCTGAAGCGGTTCACCTTGATGTCCGATATTGGCAGGTGAACTCAAGATCTTGGAACCGTTTCAGCACCTACTTCTTGGTAGGTGTAGGGCAGCCACCCTAGCAGGCTCCTGATAAGGGAAATGCCATCCTTGGGAAAAGGAGCAAATTTAGACTGGGACATTGTTGTGACAACCTACATAATTCGTGAGAAAAAGAATATGGATATGTAGAATCCCATTTGGGGCATGTATTTTACTGAGGGTAGGGTTAGACTAAATAATGACTGGATTAAAAGCAAAGGAAGATTTGTAAACTTGGAGCTTTCAGCACAATTTAGGAGAGCCATACCTACAGAAATCAGTCAAGGAGGAGGAATCATATCTAAACATACATCTAGGCCAGCAGTCCTCATCCTTTTAGGCACCAGGGGCCAGTTTCATGGAAGGCAAGTTTTCCACTGTCGGAGAGGGGTGGTGACACCAGATGGGGAGCAGCTGTAAATGCAGACAAAGCTTAGCTGTCTCGCCTACGGCTCACCTCCTGCCGTGCGGCTGGGTTCCTAAGTTTCCTGGAAGACAATTTTTCCATGAATGGGAAGTGAGGGGGTGGGAGGGGTGGGGGTGGGGGTGGGGGTGAGGGTGCCAGCGGAGCTTTGTGGGCCAGTCCCTAAGAGGACACAAATCCATACTCGTCTGCCAACGGTGGGTTGGGAACACCAGATCGAGGCTGCACGTTTTCTCAAGTACCTTCTAGCAAAGCATTTTCTTCCAAGAGTTCTACGATGGTTACATGTACTGAAATCTGTAACCCAGCCGTGTTAATAAACCAAAAAGATAAAAGGCATGTACAAATATTTGATACCTTATGTGAAAGCTGTTAATACAAATGAATAATAGGTTTATATTTTAGTGTGTAGGTTATATCTCAAACTAAAGTGTAATGCCTTTTCGATGGTGAAATACAATCAGTAATGTGACAAAGCTGCTTTTTTTTATCATCAAGTATTCAGGAATATTAAGCACTGAATTATAACTACTGAAAACGAGGCAAAATATTTTGTTGAGTCTTAAGCACTGTGTATTAATAAACACCATGAAAACAACTGAAAAACAGTAAAGCAGCCAAATTACAAAAATTACTGCACAAAAATGAAACTGCCAAAATTCTGAAAACACAATGCAGAACAAAAATTTGCACATTTATAACAAACTACAATGCAATACAAAAATCTGCACATTTATAACAAACTACAAAACAAAACTTCCTTTAAAATTCATGTTAAAAATTATTTTCTTAATAATGATTGTATCTGTAAAATTATGCCCAAACCTACAGAACTGAATAAATATGAGAGCTATTTCTTGAAAACAATTATTAAGCCTTTTGGGAACTTCACTTAGAAAAGAGAAAAAAATTAAGAATTGTTTTAAAGTTACAAGGACAGTTTTTAAAAACCTATGTTAACATATTTGAAAATACTGATGAAATGTAAGAGTTCCTGAAAAAATATAAATTGCTGAAATTGAACCTAGAAAGCAGGCCTAAGAAGAATGAAAAAAAAAGTTGACGTTATCAATGAGCTAACATCCTCATATATCAGGCTTCCTCTTAAGGAAAACATAAATCTACAGCTAATAATATGATTCCAGATTATGTAAAAATTTCATTTGTATTTTTTAAGAAATATGACAAAATCTAATGAAGAATGGATGCTACTAAATACAGCACATTCTCAGTTATAAATAAGTATCCACAAATCTTCCATTAAATATGAACAACCAACTCTGGAAGCCCATTAAAAAATTAACAATGACAAGGTTGCATCTATGAATGTAAGAATGTTTGAATGTTTAGTAAAAGGCAAACTTAATTCACTATATAAAGTTAAAGAAAGAATAAATCTTATGTTAAACTCAGATGCTTAAAAGGCCTTTGCTAATATTAGTTGGATAATTTTTTGTTTCTTAGTGGAATGTTAATCTTGTTAGAGGACTTTTTATTACTATTATTTAATATTATTCTAGAATATTAGACAAATATCTAAAAATGATACTAAAATATTTCTGCTGCACTAGTAGAAGGAAAATAAAATCAGATGTAATTAACATCTGTAGGGTAATGCCCCACAATTAACTGGCAAATAATTGCATTGGAAATTAACGGTTTTCCTCAGAGCCATACACATTTTCAGAGGAGGAGCTGTGGTCAAGTTTCAACAAATATTATTTCAGGAACTCACTTATATTCAATGTAATAATTGCAGCTGCTTCAAAATGCTGGTGTTAATTTATCATCCTCAGTCCATGCAAATTGTATTACATGGGAAGGCATTTTAATAAGTAAAATAGGACTTTTTAAAGTTATCATTGGCTGTTTTTCATTTAGGAATTCAGAAAGTCAAAGTAAACACTTATTAAAAGAAATGGCAATATTTCATGGTAATTAGACTGTGGAAAAGGGGAGCTTGGAAGGGGATTAAAGACATAAAACTGGGACTAATCAAGGACACATGGGCTTGATCTTAAAGCCCAGAAGGGAAATAAGTACATGTGATTACTCTCTAAAGTGGATGAATGAAGAGCAGAGAGATTAAGTGAGCAATCATGCTCTAACGTGGTCTGTTATGCAAAAGATAAAACATCTAAGCTGGGAACATCCGAATTGATAGAATTCAAATACACAAACTCTGTGCAGCACAGCACAAAGTTTTTCAACTTTTTTTTATTGCAACAAACATTAAAAAATACTTTTTGTCGGGTGCGGTGGCTCATACCTGTAATCCTAGCACTCTGGAAGGCTGAGGTGGCAGGATAGCTCAAGGGCAGGAGTTCAAGAAAGAAATTAGCTGGATAACTAAAAATATACAGAAAAAAAATTAGCCGGGCATGGTGGTGCGTGCCTGTAGTCCCAGCTACTCAGGAAGCTGAGGCAGGAGGATTGCTTGAGTCCAGGAGTTTGAGGTTGCTGTGAGCTAGGCTGATGCCATGGCACTCTAGCCCAGGCAACAAAGCGAGACTCTGCTTAAAAAAAAAATACCTTTTATTGCATGACCAAAATCATACACATAACAACAGCTAAAACAAAAGTTTTCAAAAACAATATACTATTGTGGAAGGATTCTGAGATTATTGTTCTAAATTATTCCTGAGTAGCTGTGACTATACCCCGGCACCACCACATGTGGCTATTTTTTTCTATATTTCATAGAGATGGGGCCTCACTCTTTCTCAGGGCTGAGACTGGGACAATCGTGATGCCATCAAGCAAGATGAGGGAGCCTGGGGCAGGGGTGGATGAAGGGGGATTCAGGAGTTCTGCCTGTGGCCATGTGAAGACTGAGATGGCTAATGGGTACTCAAGGAGAGATGAAGGCAGCTGAAGTCTGAAGCTCAGAGAGAAGGTCAGATGGAGGAGAGACTGGCTGGGATCTACTTGGAGTGAGTTTAGATAGATAAGAAGTTCAAGGACAGAGTCTTGTGTACACCAACATTAGAAATCAGAGAAATGATGAGAATACGGCAAAAAGCATTGAGCAGGAGCATCCAATAAGTCATAAGAAAAATCAGGCCTGCATGAACCAAATGAAACAAGGCATCAAGAAGGAGCGACTGATAAAATCTGTCATTGACAGATAAGGCCTGGAAGTGACCACTAGACTTGCCAGCACAGAGGCTGGTGACAACATTGCCAAGAACTGTCTTGTTGCTAGTGGGTTCATGAGAAAATTGGAGGTGAGGAAACAGAATGCAAGTATTGTATGTATGAGTCTTCTGAAATGTTTTGCTACAAAGAGAACAGAATGCCAGAGTGTTAATTTTTACAAAAAAACTCAGTGGCCTTTGTGCAAATAGTTATAATCAGAAACCCACAAAAATCACTCAAGCTGTAGAAGGCTCAATTCTATTAAACAGCAGGATGGTGGAAAAGCAACTCAAAAGAGATAAAATGTAATCCCATCTCCATAAACATCATATTAACTCTGAGAGACCTCAGAAGGTGACAGTGCTGTGTAGAAGGTGTTCAGGATATCAGGATCCTTACAAGAAGGGGCATAGATTCTGATTGGAGGTTGAGGGAAGATGTAAGTGACCTCAGCTGGGCTTGAAATCCTTAAGGAGGATTTAATGAGTCTGATCTGCTTATCGATTAAATAAGCAAAGTTAAAAATTAAATCACTGAGCCAATAAAATCCTCCTAGTTGGTAATGTAAGGGCTAAAGGTTGTGAGTAATCATTTACCTCTCAGGGATTAGATAACCGCAAAAAGCAGAGAGAAATTTCCTGGAAAGGAATGAGGATCCTGCACTCTACCTCCCTCAGGTTAGCTTTCAAACTTTTGCCCTTAATACTCTACTTTTGAGATGATGGGAATGGGTCTTTTTCCCTTATAGAGCAGCTTAATTTGCTGTTTTGGAGTAGAGATTGTGAGGGTAGGGAACAGAATGTCTCTCTCCTGGGATAGGTCTGAAAAGTGAGAGAAGATGTTGCCTTTTCCTAAAAGAAACAAGAGCCTTGGAACTCCAGGAAGTAAACTCCAGGGAATAAAATTCTCCAAAAGTATAGCTGGAGAGGGAGAAAGAAAGATAGAGATGAGGGAGAGCGCGGGACTGAGTCATATGACACATCTGGAGGTGAACCAGCAATTGTAAATTATACCTTTAAAGGTTAATATCATCCAAGTATTGGAACTAGATGATCTGCAGCATAAGATTCATATGTCAAGCTTGTTTTTGTGTGATACATTAACTTTTTTAAAAACACTGATTGAATCTATAGTGAGACCGTAAGTGCAAATGCTGCATTCTCACAGAGGAAGAGTTTCACCAAGCCTAAAAGATCAACTTAATCAAAACAGACCGACCTCTCCAATGAATTTAGGTACAAGGGGAAAAGCAAAGGAAATGAAATTCCACATGGCTTTGGAAAGTAGGTAATGTGTGAAAAGTTTGGGGGAGAGGACTTTTATTTGGGAGCTGCGAATAGAGCCATGAGCTGCTTCTCACAAGGAGGAAATGTTCAGTGCCAAGACCAGACAGAGATGATAGCTGTGCTAATTATAGCCCTACACCACACCTTAAGGAAAAGTCTCATTCTAAAGTGAACTGGTGACTAGCAGAGGAGCAGGACATATGTTAATCCAAAGGGAACAGACATAACAGTCCTGACGAGAAAAAACCGACGGACACTGATATAAGGGTGACTGCTCAGATTTGTTTGCTGGTTCTTCCTCAGTTCCCTGGTCTCACGATAAATAGATAGGGCTGATGACTTCCAAAGTTATATTTCTACCAAGGTGCTCTGTTCTAAAATATAGACTCCCAGACATAAAGCCTACCTGGCAGTCTTCCTTTCTGAGTATAACGGACAACTCAACCCCAACAAAAGAAAACTCTTGCTTTTCCTCTGGAACCTGCTCCTCTCCACTATGTCCCTGTTTCAATGAACACAACACCATTCACTCATTTTCTCAAACCGTAAGTCTAGAAGTGTCTGAAGATTTCCTTCTTTCTCTTATCCCCATATCCACCTCCTTATCAAGTCTCATTGGCTTATTTTCAAAACAGGTGCTGAGAATCTGGTCTTTTTCACCATGGCCAGCCTTGCCCAGCCATCAGCATCACTTGCACAGGTGCAGACAACAGCTTCTTGAGGCTCTTGGTTCCTGGTCTTGTCCCTTACAGGCCATGCACCACACAGATGCCAAATTAAATCCAGTTCCCTTACCAGGCCTATAGGATCCTCCACGGTGGCCTCTGCCTACTACTTCAATCTCATCTCACATGACATTCCTGCCCTCTTCATTCTCTTCTACAGAGATGACCAGGATTATCAGATTAATATATATCTTAATTTTAAAAGCAGACCTCAGGACAATGTGGATGAGAGCTTTCATGGTGTTACTGTTGTGATTTTTTTTTCATAATTTTTATCCACTTATAAACATATGTATACACATAAAATATATTAGGAAATATCAGTATGTGTGTTTGACTTATTTAATTATCTTGTATTTAAAAATTGTTCTACAATTTGCTTTTCCCATCCAATATGTTTTTGAAATCTTTATATGCTTTTATATATAGATCCAATTCTTTTGATGGCTGTTTTGTAGTCCAGAAAATATATGCACTTTAACCATACAAATATTAATGATCATTAATTAGCTTCTGAATTTTTACTTTTACAAGTATTGCTACAAGGAGTATCCTGGAACATACTATTCTGTATGACTGCATCTGTTAGTCTCTGGTATACACCAGAAGCAGCAATATCAAGTAGAAGAATGCAGTTTGACTCCCATTGTAGGGGAGCCAGAGATCACCTGCAACCCCCTTTAGTTCTTAGTAGGTTCTTCGGCTGAATCTAGAAACCAAATTGACACCAGGCACATTTATAAGAGGAAAGCATATAAATTTTATTAGTTTTACATGTGCATGGGGATCTTCACAAGAGAGTGAAGTCCAAAGAAGTGGCTACATACAGCAAGATAATCTTGAACTTTTTAGACAAAGAACAATAAATTTGAAAAGAAATGGCAGGACAAAGAAAACCTGACTAAGGACAGTAAATTCTAGGGGAGTCACTAGGAGATATATGAGAGGGTATAAAACAGGTGGAAGATAAGGGTTACTTTGTTAAGTTTGTCTATTCAGGCTGGGCACAGTGGCTCATGACTGTAATCTTGGCACTTTGGGAGATTGAGGCGGGAGGATCCATGCGCCTATAGTCCCAGCTACTCAGGAGGCTGAGGCCAGAGGATCACTTGAACCTAGGAGTTCAAGATTACAGTGACCTATGATGGAGCCACTGCACTCCAGCCTGGGTGACAGAGTGAGACCTTAACTCTTAAAAAAATAAAAAATAAAAAGTATGTTTATTTATGTCTAGTGCAGTCTCCAATTCCAAGCCTCTGATGATAAGGGCTATTTTCTTGTCCTGGTATGAAGAGGGCACGCCTTCCAGAGGAATCTATCACTTGCTGCATGCAGGAAGAGACAAATCAGCTTGCCCTTTCCAAAAACTATAATTTCTCCAGTGTTTCCAACTTAAAACAATCAATATACCAATCTGGTATATTTTGAAATGGCATGTTGTTCACTCCTTCACCACAAGCAGCTTATTTTCTCACACTTTTGTCTAAACTTGGTGATAAAAATCTTTTAAAATATTCATGAAAGCTGATAGGTAAGAACTAATATGATCTTGTTCTTTTCATTTCCATGTCCTGAGGCAGAGCACATTTTCCCATATTTGTTCTTCATCTATATTTATATATTGTTCTGATAGTTCCTTACTTTTTGCCTATTTCCTATATTTTGTTTTTTAAAAATAATCTTGACAAAGTTTAAAATATGCCACTCCTTATCTGATATCATGCTGTAATTAATTTCTCCCTTTCTATTAGTGATCTTTTATGTATCTATTATTATAAATAACTTTTGTGCATTTTGTGTCTTATAGTCTCTTTGTGATATGTCTAAGTAAATTAAATTAGACACAATTAATGTCTAATTTTACTTCTCTAGCTTGAGTCACATTGTGATTCCTGAATCTGAAAAATCTTGTGTTTCATCTCTTCTTAAAAATTCTTATTTATTATTCCTTAAAGGATTGCCTTTCCACAATTCTCTTGTTTTTTCTTTCTAGAGTCCTATTTAATATACACTAGATATTTTCACTTCCTTTGCTATCATCCCTTACTATCTCACTGAGCTTTTTATTGCATATAATTTATATAGCTCTACCTTCTATTTCATTCTTTCATTAGCTATGTCTAGTCACTTAATTTCAAATTTCAATGCCTAAATTTTTCTTTTATATTTCAGATAGTCTCTTTCTGAAATCTGCCTCTTCTTTTTGGTATCTTCTTATGTTTAAGCTTCCATATTATATTTCTTCAATTATTTTAAGCATACTCACATAATATCTTTATCAGTTTATTCTATTTTTGGAAGTTTCCTGCAGTCTAAGCCTGCTGTATGTTGAATCTGAGAACTTGATTTGGGTGGATCACTTCTCTGAGTGGATCACTTCTCTGAGTGTTTATAATTTTGGATTTTGAGTTCATATTAAATAGAGCTTTGTTGGTAGTAAATCTGTGTGACCTGTGTTGAGCAAATGAGCCTGGACCCAATGTTTCAATCAGTTTTTTAGCTGGGGATACATTCTCAGACAATGCAGACAGTATGAATTCCAATTTTTGACTCTCTATAACATAGTTATGGATTTTCAGGAGAGATTTTTTTATTTTTGAACCAGAGCGCAGGACAATGTAGAGAGTTGTCACTATCTTAATGTTATAATAGGCAGGGCCCCTTCAATTCCTTCAAGATATTGAAGTCCTTCAAGGCTTCTGGCTTCCTATTAAGATCTCCCTTATAATCTCCTTTCTGGTGTTGGCATCCCCACAGCTGTAGATCTCAAGTCCCCACATCACTGAAATTGATGCCTCCTCTGTGATCCAATCTCATGGTCACTAAGGAGTTAGTACATACCTCTAACTTTTCATTACATCCATGAGGATATCTCTTACTATCTTTGGAGCCATGCATATAAAAGGATGTTTGCTGTATTTTATCTAATATATCCAGGTGTTTATGATAGACAGTTTTTCAGGTAATTTAATCCACTGAAATCTTCCAGATGAAATTTCAAATAAGATGGTCATGTTTTAGTGTTCAGTTGATGCTAATGTCAGTTTAGAGACATGGGAACACAGAACCAGAAATAATCTTACCATTTATCAAGGCATCACAGGCCAGTTCCTTCATTTTAGAGAGGCAGATTCTACCCATGGTAACTGTGATCTTTCCATGGCCAGGCAATTGGTTGGTGATAGAAGTAGGATGACAAATTAGGTTTCCTGAACTCTAATCTATCACTTTTCCCACCAAGAAACATTTCTTCTTAATTTTTAAAAGTATTGGGGCAGTGTCATATAAGATTTTCTCTGTATTTGCTTTTGTATTTTTTTTATTTTGGTAGGTAAATGCCAGTTTCTAGGAAGAGAGAACCAAAATGTCTACTGGAGCAGACACCAAGGTTACAGTGGGAGATAGTTCCAATGATGGCAATTTAAACATGGCTCAACAGCAATCCTCCAGGAGAGGTAAAGTCATGCACGGGAATCTGGATACGGATAAAACTAGGATCTATGTCACCTTAACTTCTGTTGTTTGGATATATGGCATTCTTCTTGCTACCGGCAATTACCAAGAATTCTATGTAGCTACAAAACATTTTTACTGATAATTATTTCATTTCTCATAAAAAACCTTGAAGGTATATAGGACAGGCAGGTATTATGATATTATTTAAAGATGAATGAAGGCTGGGCATGGTGGCTCATGCCTGTAATCCTAGCACTCTGGGAGGCCGAGGCGGGCAGATTGCTCGAGGTCAGGAGTTCAAAACTAGCCTGAGCAAGAGCAAGACCCAGTCTCTACTATAGATAGAAAGAAATTAATTGGCCAACTAATATATATAGAAAAAATTAGCCGGGCATGGTGGCGCATGCCTGTAAGTCCCAGCTACTTGGGAGGCTGAGGCAGGAGGATTGCTTGAGCCCAGGAGTTTGAGGTTGCTGTGAGCTAGGCTGAAGCCATGGCACTCACTCTAGCCTGGGCAACAAAGTGAGACTCTGTCTCAAAAAAAAAAAAAAAAAAAAAAAAAAAAAAAAAAAAAAAAAAAAAAAAAAAAAAAGATGAATGAAAAAATTCACAGCAGATTCTAAGTAGGAAACCAGAAACCTGGAAACCAACCTTTGGCTTGTCTGATTCTAGGTCTAGGGCATGTCCCCTTAGATCACTCTGCTCATGTTGAACCCAGACCTGCCTCAAAAAGAATGGGCTTTTCCTTTCAACCATGACAGAAAAGTCACCTTTCCTCTTGCCTCTTATCTACATGGCAACTTTGTGCTTTTCCATAATATGCCCTAAGGAAAACTGTGCAACACCTTATTTTACGCTAAATACTTAATGACTTATAACTATGTTATTCATTTATTTTCTTAAGGATATAGGCTTTTCGTAAGATAATGCCTTCAAAAAGCAAAACACTAACCAAGATGGAATGCTTTTTGATACCCAACACTTTAGCTATTATAGTTTATATGTTAGGGAGTATGCATACCTTCATGAAAAAGAGGGTTCTTCTAATTTCATCTACCAAAGAAGAAATAAGGAGACATACATGCTAATACTCATCCTACAATCAACCTCCCACCATGTGACCCAGCATGAATACCAATTCAGTGGTCTTGGCTAAAGGTCTTCTCCATCTCCAAGTATTTTAGAGTCTATTGTACCACACCATTGGCCAAATTATCCTATACTAACCCTCTTTCTCTCCTTTAAAATCAGTAAAATGAAGAACGTATGCATAAAATTTTACCAAGGTGCAGTATGGCCCACTGAGTAAGACCACAGATTAGAAGCCAGATTGAGTTTTCAATCCTGATTCCACCACTTATGAGCCATATGACCTTAGGCAGGTTTCCTAGATTTTAATTCCCCCATTTGTAAAACTGGGATGATAATAACAGTAGCTAACTCGCAGGATTACCACAAGGATTAAATTAGTTAAAATATAAATACTTAGAGTAACACCTTGCCGATAGTAAACACTATATGAACATTAGCTATTATTATTATTGCTAACACAGGTTTCCTTCCTCAGCCCACTTATTGGCTGTCACTGGAATGTTCATTTATAGTTTGTCTAAAATGGGACTCATATGTGGTCTTTCCAGTTTTTTCCAGTCTTCTAAAACATCTGTACCACCATGCTGCTCAGTCTTCTGGTGACTATTCCCGAAGCTACAACTGTATTGGGCAATACCTCTATAACCCCAGCCTGTTGTTACAAATGGTATCATGCTAATAACATTCATGCTTTTTGTGAAGTTTCTTTTCACCTGGTAAGGCAGAACCCCAGCTCCTCAGGCTTACCAAGTTATTTTGTTATGTCATTGCATCTCCAAGTATTAATATTTCTCATAGTGCTTAGGAATAAACCCTGCTGATAGCTTCATCAGTTGATGTCCAAAATCAGCTTTTCCTCATTTCTTTCTCCAGCCCATGCCCAGGTCCTCTGTATCAGACTCCTGGGGCTTCCTCTGGGTGCTAGTGCCCCCAAAGGCTACTGATGTTTTTGCTGGGCACTGCTGTGCTTCCAAGACATGCGAGAGAAGGAAATCCAGGTCCCATGAGGTGTGGAGAAATGCCCCTTCTCCCATTATATGTCCCATCTGGGCACCTGGTCACACAACAGAACTACTTACGCTCGCATATCCCTAGAGATCCCGAGTGAAGAAAGCTGGATCCTGAGGGTCTGCTGGAAGGTCAGTGGTCCTTATCAGGCTCAATTAAGAATTTGTGGGACTGGGGTGGAGACAGACACCACATTGACCTTTGATTCTCTTATCCCCCAGAGGCCCAGGAGCTGCTATATCAGTCTGGGTTATGTCAGAAAAACAGAAGCCAGTCTAGGTATTTCAAGAAGAAAGGAGTTTAATGTAGAGGACTGGATGATTCCACAGCTTTTGGAACACTGGGGAAACAAAAGTCAGGTGGGCCACCCTTAGGAAATCCACAAGTGCAGGATGAGACACTGCCAATGATCCCAGCTATGTGGGCAGTTTTCAGGCAGACACCCTAAAGTCCCAGGCAAAAATCCCATGTCTGCCACAACTGACCCTCACTCACCTGCCTGCAGCTTCCTTTGGAGCATAATGTTTTCTCATTGAGTTCAGCCTTCCATATTGTGCTAGCATGCTCTTATTAGTAGAATCTGAATGGATTCATGCTTGCATGGTCATCTGAGGATTGTGGTTTACAGGTATTTGCTCCTCTATTACTGTGGTGACCACAGAAGGGTGGGGATAGCACTGAGAATTAATAAGCTGTATCAGGAAAAGCCGCTTTTCTCCCAATCAAAAAAGCCCACAGGGAGGTGGATATATTCCCGCCTATGGGGAAGAATTCACCTGAAGGCCAATTTACAATAGAACCCCTTTCTGAAAGCCATTGAAATAAATAAAACAAGCACAATGCTTTGAGAAAGTACTTCTATCTCGGTTGAAACTAGGGAATCATTAATACCGCACACTACAAACTCTAAAGCTTGCTGTTAGATTTCATACAATTTGGAAAAAGTTGAGAGAGGATGCCAAGAGCTGACAAAACTCCCATCACTGAAGCATGGTGCAATGTCATAGGAAGAAAGGAAGATGCTCTGGAGCGTCGGCTCATGTTCCAGCTAGGAGTAGCAGTGTCTAGACGCTGCTAGAACAGACCACAGGCACAGTGAGCCCCTCAAGGGTCTCCGGTGCTGGGACGTGCTGGGTGAAGCATACATGGGCCCACATCCTGGAGTTTTCCCCTCACAGCTCACCAGTCTTTCCAGAGATCTGCAACTTAGCATCAGGGGCCCAGTGCAACAGAGGAGAGGAAAATATAAGTGACTACAGAAATCAACTTGGAAATCTGGAGAGAAATTATCACTACAGAAAATCAAATGACATGAAGTTGAGGCTTGAAAAAGTCATGAAAAATGAAAAGGGTAGCAAGATAGTGAAGCAGAAGATGATGGATGTGAGGAAGGGAAGTAAACAAAGATTATATAATAATAAAAGAAAACAAACTAATTAAACATCCAATCCACTGAGTATACAACCTCAATGAAAGTATGCAGAAAAACAAAACAGATAACTTAAATGTAGAAAATAATGTGAACTCAAATTGTGCAGGAAATTAAAATGAAAAATATATATAAGCACTTTGATAAAGAAGATGCCATTCATGGCAATAAAACCAACAATCCACTGCTCAAATTAATCAAACAGAGAGATTAAATACAAGTAATTATGAGAATATAGGAGACAGAAACATTTAAAATATATAATATGCTAATATGGAGAAAGTAGGTAAGCAAATGATTGTCTAGAAATTATAATTTATATAAATTTAATTATATAATCATAACATAATTGATTAATTATAAAATTTAAGTATTAAAAGATTTAATATTTTAAATATAATTTAATTACAGTATACTTTTATGGAAACTATAATTTCTAGAAAGTGTAAATTTATAATTTATAAATCTGAATGCAGAAAAGTAAGAAAAATTATACATGTCAAAAAACATGTAAGAAATGGAGATAATTGTCAAAAAGCTATCCCCTTTAAAACAAACAAATTATGTCTTGGTAGTTTAACTAGAAAAGTTATGTGAGATTTTTAAGGAACAGAAAATGCCTATCTACCCTGTGCAGAAGAATTTCAAATAATTTATGTAGACTTCCTATCTTAAGAAGATGGAGCATAGCTCCTCACTCCTTACACAGACTGGTGCATATGAATTCTTTCAGAGTACATTTGTACGTGTTAATTCGTCCAAAAAATTAAAAGGAAAAGGAGAAAAAAAAAAAGGGTAATTTCAAGTGGAGAAACCTGACAAACATTAGCTCAAGCCAGGGGATCAAGGTCAACATTGATAGTGAGGAACATGTTGACAGTGTGCATTCTTGGTATGCTGTGATGAGAATGGCAGTTTGCTTCTCTGGTCTTCCTCTCAAAACCACATAATCCCAGTCTAATCTTGAGAAAAATATTAGACAAATCCCAATTAAGGGACACTACACAAAACACCTGACTAGTACTCTTCAAAACTGTCAAGGTCATTAGAAACAAGGAAAACCTGAGAAACTGTCATAGCCAAGAGAAACCCAAGGAGAGATGACAGCTAAGTGTAAGGTGTAAGTGTACTCTTGTGGGGAAGTATTGAGTCAGGCCTGCGAGGAGATTAGCTACTTCTCTCCGAGGAGCCAAGTCCCTTAGATAGGGGTTGCCACAGAGGATAAGGAAATTGATAGGAAATAGAGAGAATAAAAGAATACACAGAGACTAAGGTATGGTTTATAGTTTTATATAAAAAGATCAGATGTAACACAGCAGGGTACCTAGGAGACTGGCATGTCCCTGTGAACATTTAGCTATATGGTTAGATTCACACAGGTTTTTATAATCACAGATATCAATTACCAGTTGTCAGGGTAACATATTTACATATAAGGGAATGCAGTTGCTAGGGGAGACAGGTAGTGGGTTGGGGTCAAAAGTCCTCTTAAAGGGCTTCTAATCTATCTAGGTGAACAAACAGGTACAAAGTCTTTCAGGGACTAACTTCTAAGTTCTAAGAGGTAGTTGTCAATTAACAAAGGTATAACAAAAGAGGTATAGTGATCCTATATTTCTTTGATTTAGTTATTGTGGACTTAAAGGTAGACAGACAGGAGCGAGCAGGAAACCCATCTCTATAAAACAGATTGTTTATAACCCCTAGGGCGCCTCTCTGGTCAAAGGGCATTCATTGTCTCCGGCTCCAATACTGTGTGCCATATTTGCCTTGCCTTCTCTTTCAAGACACAAGGAAGATCACAGATTTTGAGACACCGGGAAGACTTCCTGGAAAACATCCCTACTGGAGATTTGAGAGCTCTCCCATGATAGCAGCCTCTAATAAGTGAACCATTGAGTTCACACATTCCTTCAGAGCAAAACCCTGCAAACTCCTGTTTCTGTCTTTAATATAGCAATATAGGGCGATACATTAAAATAATGGTCTTATGAGCTACATCTCATTAATTCCTCAATCATATTTCTCAACATACTCTGAATAAGATTCTGAAATAGAAAAATGACATTAGGTAAAACCTGAATGAAGTATGAACTTTAGTTAATAAAAATATATCAGCGTAGGTTTATTAAGTGTGACAGATGCATCATAGTAATATAATAATAGTGAAAACTTGTATATAAGAACTCAATATTTCTATAAATCTAAAAATTCTTCAAAAATTAAAAGTTTATTAAGAAAAAGGAAAATGGCTGTGTACCTAAGATACTTCAGATCATAGATTGAGCTGGAAAGCTTATAACGTTTTTTAAAAGTATAATGTAGTAAAAATAACAAACACATAAACTACAAATTAAGCTCAATTATATATCTCAATAAGATTCTAGCTAAAATATTAGCAAATAAATCATGTTTTTTTCATTAAAAGTAACCTATTAAGAATAAAAAGATATCATGCCAAGAATGCAAGGATAGTTGGCCATTACTAACAATAATGAATTTACTTATTTAATTGTCATCACAGTACCTTGAGGTAGGCTCTATTATTAATCTTGTTTTACAAGTGAAATATGGGGGCCACAGAGAGTTCAATACCTTGTCCCAGGACACACAACTGTAGGTAGGGCAGCTGGGATTAGAATCCAGGTATCTGATTCCAGGATTGAAACACATTTAATAAAACTCATGCATTTCCATAAAAATATTTAAAAATGGGAAATGAATAGTTTAATGTGATTAAAGTACATGTCACACCAACAACCAGCAGTGTACCACCTAATGGTGTAATGTGAGAAGCATTCTCAGTAAATTCAGATATAGCAGGAATGCCCACTCTCACCATTCCTATTCAACATTGTTTTGAAAATGCCAGTGAATGAAAGTATCCAAGAGAATGAAGTAAATGTTTCAAATGGTAAGTATACTCAACTCTTTTTTCCATTATTTGTACATAATGTGTCTTTATTTATTTAATCAAAACCAAAGGGGAGGAAAACCCTGACAGAAATGATAGGCAAAAGAACCCAGTTACAGAAACCATAAAAAGTACTTTACAAAATGTGTGTGGGCCTTAACTGAAGATAATTATAAAATTCCACCTTGGGACAGAGTAAAAGACTTGAATACTCGTACATGGGTAAGCATCCCTTCTTGGCAAGGAGAAGACAATACTATAAATATGGCAATCTTTTGTAATTAATGTGTCCTATCAATATGACATTAATGAGAATTCCAATGTGAATTTTTCTGAATGGTATGGGAGGAGGGGATTTTGACTAAATGCTCTCAGAGTTAAACCAAAGATGAGGATCTGTCATTTCCTAGAACTTAGCAAGAGCATCACTTCACAAAAGGAAATCACGCTGGCCACTCCAAGAACTTTGCTTTCTTTCAGGAGCCAGGAATCAGGGCACTAACATACCTTGAAGCAGTGATCACATATTACCTCTGAGATTTCTCTACAGGGATAGTTGATCAACCCTTAAAGCTATTGTCAAACTAATGTATTTGGATTCAACCATAGGGATAGTTCCACAGTGCCTATGGAACACTGGCAAATTTTGTGTAAGCACAGATTACAATACTAATATGAAGTTATTTAACTTCTATAATCTAACCTTAGCCTTTATCTTTCAAGTTTGATCTGCCTCTCAGACCCTAAACAAGTTTATCTTCCATGTTCTCCCATTATAAATGGCACTTCGAGCTATCCCAGCTGCCCAAGTAGGGCACTTGGGAGTCATTTCCAACCATTTCTTCTCTCTCACTATTCATATATAATCAGTCACTACTTCCAGCCAATTCTTTCTCTAAATCCACTTCTTTCCATTCTCACTTTCATCTGCTCATCCCAGGACCCCTGCTTGTAAAGCTCTTCCCTAATGCTTGTTCTCACCAACTCCACACATTCTTCAAGTCTCTGCTTGAACAATGTTTTTGAGGGGAGCTACCTCCCCCACTACCTCCCAGGGAGACAGGGGTCCACTAGACACCTACAGAACAATATCTGCACACCCTATACTTCTGTGTTGCAGACAGACACCAATCTTTTCCCTCTTTCAGACTTAGGAAGGGTGGGAGAAAAGCATTCTGATTATAAGATTTTTTGTGCCCTTCTCCTCTTAGGCTTCTGTTCATTCCGACATGGGATGGCCCTCATCTTGCACCTCTGTAATTTTTCGATTTACACCCAACAAATGAACTTGAGCATTGCCATCCCAGCTATGGTGAACAACACAGCCTCACCCTCCCAGCCCAATGCCTCCACAGAAACGCCCTTCACTGAATCTCAGCACTACTGGAATGAAACTCTAAAGGGATTTAAGGCAGTGGTAAGTTTAATAAGACTGGGCCCTTTCTTTAACTCAAATTGTCTGGCTTAATGGGTGATCTAATTAAAGAGTGAAAGTCATTTACCTAGTAAATATTTATTGGTCATATACTATGTGCCAAAAATAGCACAGGAATATAATATGTATTTAAGGAGATTATATCTCTATTTAGTGTCTATGAGTGTAACCAGGGACTAAGTTAGAATGAAGGAAAACAGATCTTACCATTTAGTGGACATTAAATTCTTCCCCTACAATGATGAAAAAAAATCACCACAAAATATGTTTCACAGATTTAAGTCTACTTTCTCTTCCTTCCTTCCACATATATTTTTATTACTTTGCCTATGATGCTTTCTTCTTTATAGGCTTTCTTTCTTTACAGACAGACTCTCTTATGTTTTAACTGGTCAGTTAATTGTGTCAGGGAGAGGCGAAAGAGTGTGTTGGGCATATATTTAGGATTTTTTTTTTTTTATGAAATTGGTATATTGGAGGAATTCAAGAGGTAAAAGGAAAGAGAATTGCCAGTTATTTTTTGCCTCTCAAGTCTTCACAATAAAAACTGTCAACTCTCTAATCAAACAGTGCAAATCTCTTTGTCATCTAGGCTCCTCCTACGTATGACTGGAGTCCTGAAATCCAGGGAATCATCCTCAGCTCCCTGAACTATGGCTCATTCTTGGCTCCAATCCCCATTGGCTACATGGCTGGAATACTTGGAGCCAAATATGTGGTTGGTGCTGGTTTGTTTATTTCCTCAGTCCTGACCTTCTTCATTCCACTGGCAGCAGATGCTGGAGTGGCCTTGCTCATTGTCCTTCGGGTTGTCCAAGGCATAGCCCAGGTACCAAGATATTTTCCAAGTATAAGAAGAATATAGTTTTAAAATGACCTCAGATATCCAAGAATGGAATTTTTCTCCCCCCAGGTTATGGTATTAACAGGTCAGTTTTCAATTTGGGTCAAATGGGCTCCCCCACTGGAAAGAAGTCAGCTCACTTCTATTGCTACATCAGGTAATTGATACCCTAATTCTTACCTTATATGTCTGAGAGCGCTCAGCAAAGGCCTATCAACAGAACCAATACTTTATATTCTGATTACTCTGGTCTTCATAGTCCTTGCTCTAAATCACTATCCTATACTGTCTTTCTTTATCATAACTGAATGCTTTCTATGCACCAAATGTTCTTATGTTTTGTATATACTAACTTCGTTTTAGCCTCAGAACAATCTTATGAGTCAGCTATATGTAATTATTTCCATAATAGAATTTGAGACACAAATAGACTAATACCTTGTCCAAGATTGCATAGCTACTGAGTGGAGGACAAGATTTGAACCAAGGTAGTCTTGTTTGCAGATAATACCTTCAATCACTGTGCAACTCAGCTCTGTAGAAAGCATGGAGTCTCAAGACTGACCTTCTCACCCAACATCCTTGTGTCTTCTGTTCAGGGTCAGTGCTTGGGTCTTTCATCATTCTCCTTGTTGGCGGTGTCCTCTGCCAGACCATAGGATGGCCTTATATCTTCTATATCTTTGGTGAGTTTGTGTTTTTCAAATCTCAGAATTTTATTTTATGACAGAGAATGCTGGGCATGATTTCTGTGATGCAACTTATCTATAGTTAACCAAATCCTAATAGATATGGATATTTACATAGCTAAAGTTGATAATATTCAGAGCTAATTATGTTGTGAATTTTGCTGGCTTGTAAAGACAACATTTAAGTTTTAGTAGCCTGAGTACGTAGCTAGAATAACCTTATGACTTTAAAAGAATTGTAACATTTCTCCCTGCTGCTAAATTGAACCCAAAAGACCCCAGAGCAATTTCTTTCATAAGGTTTCAAAAATGTTATCTTAGTGGGACTATATTTTTAGTTATGCTTATTTATTTAATACATTCTTTTAAATTTTTCCTGTTATTATGACAACCAGAAAATTGAAGAGTGGAGTATTGGAGCCAGTGATTCTGTTAACCACAGGAATCATCTCAGGACAGAGTTAAACCGAAAGAAGAACTTCAACCCAGTGCTAACTGGATCCTCTTTCCTAGGTGGAATTGGCTGTGCCTGTTGTCTTCTCTGCTTTCCTTTAATTTACAATGACCCTGTGAACCATCCCTTTATCAGCGCTAGTGAGAAGACATACATTGTGTGTTCACTGGCTCAACAGGTACATTGAGGAAGTCTGCTGCCATTTCCCTATGTCCATCCAGATGTCTCAGAGGTGAAGAGTGCAATAGAGAAAGCGCTTGTCTTCTTATGGAGGGGAAACTGACATGTGCTTTCTTCCAGGATCCTTCACCAGGCTGGTCTCTTCCCATTAAGGCTATGATCAAATCTTTACCACTTTGGGCCATTTTAGTCTCTTATTTCTGTGAATATTGGCTTTTGCATATCATTATGGCATACACACCAACATACATCAACTCTGTACTTCAAGTCAACCTCAGAGATGTAAGTACAGAGGAAACTTATTTTGTTCTTCTGTTTAAATGTTTCATTATATGATGCTTTGTCTCTCTCGTGATCACAAAATCAGGGACCCAGGACCTCCATGTAGGAAATGCAACCTGGTTAACTTAGATTCTGATTAATTTCAATGTGGTTTACTATTTATTAGAGCAGGGTGGTATGGTTCTAGGTTAGCTTGATATTGATATTAACAGAATATCATATTTTTAAGGGACCTATGCAAAAATTTTACACTCAATCCAATTAATATTTGCAAACAAGACACTCTGCTGGCAGCATAAGCAATAAAGGAGTAACAAAACAGATACTGCCTTTGAGAAAATTGTGACAGAGAAACATAACATGCTGAAAATAAGACAGCATTAATAGGACATAAAGTCCCAAATAAGACTGACATAAAAATTTGTGGATAATGCCTTTTTAAAAAACATTTTATTCAAGTATAACACATATAGAGAAAAATGCACATATGTATAAAGCTCTCTAAATTTTCCAAAAATGAATGGATGCTCTGACTAGCTGACAGGAGCTTTCAATTCCTGCTAGATGCACATCATAAAAGTGTATCAGATGTCACAGCTATGACAGTTCACAAGGCCACTGAATTACCATTACACTCTTACCCCTTGTACTCAGAAAGCAGCTTTCTCATATTGACTGGGATCCTCTGGCGAAAACTTGCTAAGTGGCCGGCAGAGAGCTGACCTCAGCAGTGGCAAGAATCCAGTTAGCATGCAGGCAAGCAGGCTGGAGGCATGAGGTACTGAGATCAGAAAACCCCAGGAAGAAGTGGCTCTTCTTAAAGAGGAAGAGGGCCAGAAGCAGATAGTGAAACCAGCACATCAAGCCAGAGAATCAGGGACAGAAGGGCCAGACAAGCAGGAGGCCAGTGCTGAGTGGCAGACATCCTGAGGCAGGCTACTGGGAATGATCTCTCTCTGGTATAAGGCCAGCTCCCCATCCTCAGAGTCCAAGGCTGGGTGTGGGGTGGAGGAAGGAATGGAAAGATAAGTTGTGACCAGACAGCAGAGCTTCCCACGCTGAGAAGTCAGCAGACCTGGACTCCATAGCTCTCAGGATTTTCTCACCGTGACATAACCTTGATGGCCTTGGCTTACTCGTCCATAAAATGAACCTCTTGAACCAGGTAAAAGCTAACTCCTTTTCATTGTTTGGCTTATACAACAAAGGATGGTCTGTTTTTCATTGCATTTTATTAAATGGAATTTTAATTTAGAGGATTTAATTGACCAAATTTCAACATTTAAAAAACTATATGGAAATGTATAGTGAAAAATCTTTCTCTCATTCTTGTTCTTAAGCTGTTCTGTTTTCCCAGCCCACATAGACAATTGTGTCCCATAGACAATTCTTTAAATTACTAATCTATTCTTCCATCGTTTCTTTGGGAGAATGCAAGCACAGATGCATGTATATTCTTATTTTACCAACTTTTTTTTTTTTACACAAAACATTATACTCTGTATATGTTGCTCTGCTTTTTATATACTAGGTTTTTGCCATGTAATATACCATCAGGATCTTTTCATATCAGCACATGGGAACATTACTGAGCCATATTTGGGTTGTTTCCAAACTTTGAGTAATGCTGCAGTGAAAATCTCGTTTATTTGTCATACATTTGTGCAACTGTTTCTGTGGCACAAATCTCTGCATTTGAGATTGCTGAGTAAAAGGGTAAATGCACTATAAACTTTTATATGTATTGTCAAATTGCCCTCCATAGAGCATTAACAATATTTGTCAGTATCTGATTCTCTACAGTGTCAGCACAGAGTATGTCAAAAAATTTTTGAGTTTTTGTCAATTTGATCCATGAAAAATAGTATCTCACTACAGTTTTATTTTTCATTTCTTTCATTATGAGTGAAGTTGGGTACCTTTTAATGTGTTTAGGAGGAACCTATTTTTCTTTATTCTATAAAGTTTTCATATCCTTTGTCTGTTTTTATTTTGGTCTTTTTAAATATCTATTTCCAGGTGATCTTTATATATAAAGAGAACATGAGTTCTTTTTATTTTTATGGCAAACTGAGCTATATGCATATTTTCCCCTGGCACTAAAATTATATTGGCTCATTCTAGTAACATGAAATTTGTATTAAAAGTGATGTGTATATAGAGAAAGCCACAGATATGAACAATCTGTCCAGGGTCAATCTGTGTCATGGTGGGGGTGGTAAGGGCATAGGCACCTCACCTCATCTCTGGTCCTCAGAGTGGAATACTGTCATCCCTGCCGTTTGTCGTTGGCTCTATCTGCATTATCCTTGGAGGTTTATTGGCAGACTTTCTCCTCTCCAGAAAAATCCTCAGACTCATCACCATCAGGAAACTCTTCACTGCCATTGGTAAGGGCTGAGATGGACACAGGGGTGAATGTGGGAAGCTCAGGGAAGCCTTCTATTTACTCTGGGCTTTTCCTACCCCAGGGGTTCTCTTCCCATCTGTGATCCTCGTGTTCCTGACCTGGGTCAGATCCAGCCACAGCATTACCATGACCTTCTTGGTACTATGCTCTGCCATGAGCAGCCTCTGTGAAGCAGGAGCCCTTATCAACTTCTTGGATATTGCTCCTCGGTAGGGACCCCTTTGCCTCATGCTCACATAAGGTCGGTTCGGGTCCAGTAGCCGTAAACCTGCTCTGACACACAGGTAAAATGTGACATGTGCAATAACGGGTCACAGGAAACATCAGCAACAGCCCTACATCCAAATAATGCCTGGAAGAGACCCAAAGCTCTTGTGAACTTAGTTTTTTCAGGTGTGAACAAGAAGAGTCAGTGGCCACACTCACAGCTCAGCTGAGGGAGACACACACACATCTCTCTCTGTTGAGGAATGCAGCAGTTACGTAGGGTTGGATCATTGAAAGGATTCATGAGACTCTACAGCGTATGCTCATGTAAGGCTTTAATAAAGGGAAAGGACACAGCATTTCAGAAGAAATATTTAACTCTGATACAGGTAAATACCAGAGTTCACTGACACTTCCAAATGTAGCTCACAGGGTTCTGCCCCTCTCAATAGGGAACACTTCATCTTCAGATAATGAACCACCAAGATACGTGGGAGATACCTTGGTCTCAGGGGAGCCACAATTTCATCCAATGAGGGGTCTTTTATACCCAAGGAGAGGTCTTTTATACCTAAAACAAAGCTACAAAATTAGACTCAATATCAGAAACAACCCCCCTCCCAAAATCTATAAACCAGGTACAAACCATCAAGGTGTATGTTTTGTATAAACAATGTTGACAAATTAGTACAGGTTACCCCTTGGAAGTCTCAGACCCCAGCACAAGATTATACCAATCATTAGTCAGTACGTTTATCCAAGTTTAACCAAGGGGTTGCACAATTCCGGCATACACAGAGATAAGCACAGAGTCACAACAGACCTGCTGAGATTAACCGTTTGTTTGCATGGGAATGTTTCCCCCCTTCTCTCTTTTTCTCTCTCCCAGGTACAGCAGCTTTCTCAAGGGATTAATGCAAGTCTTTGCACACACAGCTGGAGCCATTTCTCCCTCCACTGTTGGATTTTTCATCAGTCAGGTGGGGCCAAATGTTCTGATAAATATTCACAAGAGAAACCATAGAGGCATGGTGTTTTTACATTTGTATAGCATCCTAGAAGATGCTTTTAAGGCAGTCAAAATAAACAAATTCACCTGAAGACTTGAGCATTTCCTAAGAATCTTATTGATATAGAATTTACATGAAGAAAGATGTATAGGACATTCACATAAATATCATTCTTTAATTTTCCTGTCATTTTCCACCAGTAAGGCAGTAAAATGGATGAGGAATAAGAAAGAATGGGCATTCTTTATGAAATCAAGTCCCTTCTCTTTTTTTTTTTATTTTGGCATATTATGGGGGTACAGATTTTAAGGTTTCAAGAAATGCCCATTTCATTCCCTCCCCTCAAAAGTCTGAGTCTCCATCATGACCATCCCCCAGATGGTGCACATCTCACTCATTATGTATGTATATACCCGCCCCCCGCCGCCTCCCCCTCCCACCTGCCCATACCCTATTACTGTAGTACCTATGTGTCCACTTAGGTGCTACTCAGTTAATACCAGTTTGCTGGAGAATATATCTGGTGCTTGTTTTTCCATTCTTGGGATACTTCACTTAATAGTATGGGTTCCAGCTCTAACCAGGAAAATATAAGATGTGCTATATCACCATTGTTTCTTAGAGCTGAATAGTACTCCATGGTATACATATACCACATTTTATTGATCCATTCTTGGATTGATGGACACTTGGGCTGTTTCCACAGCCTTGCAATTATGAATTGTGCTGCTATAAACATTCGAGTGCAGGTATCTTTTTTGTAGAGTGTCATTGGATCATTTGGGTAGATGCCCAGCAATGGGATTGCTGGATCAAATGGTAGATTCACTTGTATCGCTTTAAGGTATCTCCATATTGCTTTCCACAGAGGTTGAACTAGTTTGCAGTCCCACCACCAGTGTAGGAGTGTCCCTCTCTCTCCGCAACCACGCCAGCATTTTATTGGAGATTTTTGATAAGGCCATTCTCACTGGGTTAAGTGGTATCTCATTGTGGTTTTGATTTGCATTTCCCTGATGATTAAAGATGTTGAGCATTTCTTCATATGTTTGTTGCCATTCTCTGTCTTCTTTAGAAAAATTTCTGTTCAAGTCCTTTGCCCACTTTTTAATGGGGTTATTTGATTTTTCTTCCTAATTTTCGTGAGTTCTAAGTATATTCTAGTTCAGCCAGTCCTATTGGATGCATAGGATGCAAAATTTTCTCCCATTCTGTAGGTTGTCTGTTTACTTTCATGACTATTTCTTTGGCTGTGCAGAGCTTTGTAGTTTGATCATGTCCCATTTATTTATTTTTGTTGCTGCTGTGATTGCCTTTGGGGACTTCTTCATAAACTCTTTGCCAGGCCAATGTCTAGGAGAGTGTTTCCAACTTTTTCCTCTAGAGTTCTAATAGTTTCATACCTTAGTTTAAGTCTGTTATCCAGTGTGAGTTGGTTTTTGTGAGAGGTGAAAGGTGTGGGTCCTGTTTTAGCCTTCTACAGGTGGCTATCCAGTTTTCCCAGCACCATTTATTGAAGAGGGATTCTTTTCCCAGCATATGTTTTTGTCTGCTTTGTCAAAGATTAGATGGCTATATGAGGATGGTTTTATATCAGGATTCTCACATCTGTTCCACTGGTCCATATTCCTATTTTTGTGCCAATACCATATTGTTTTAATTACTACAGCTTTGTAGTATAGTTTGATATCTGGCATATTAATGCCTCCATTTTGTTTTTGTTGCCTAGAATTGCTCTTGATATTCGGGGTCTTTTTTGGTTCCATACGAAGCATAAAATTATTTTTTCTATATCTGTGAAGAATGCTGATAGGATTTTAATAGGTATTGCATTGAATCTGTACATCAGTTTGGGTACTATAGACATTTTGATGATATTGAGTCTGCCGATCTACGAGCATGGTATGGATTTCCATCTGTTTACATCCTCTGAATATTTCCTTCCTCAGTGTTTCATAGTTCTCCCTGTAGAGGTCTTTTACCTCTTTGGTTAAATATATTCCTAGGTACTTAATTTACTTTTTGCTATTGTGAAGGGAATTGAGTCTTTGATTTGGTTCTCAATTAGATTGTTGTTGGCGTATATGAATGCCTCTGATTTCTGTGTATTGATTTTGTATCCAGAGACTTTACTAAATTCATTGATCAGTTCCAGGAGTTTCTTGGTTGAATCCTTGGGGTTTTCTAGATACAATATCATATCATCAGCAAACAGTGAAAGTTTATCTCTTTCGTATTTGGATACCTTTGTTCATTTTCCTGTCTGATTGCTGTAGCCAAGACTTCCAGTACTATGTTGAACAGAATGGAATAGTGGCAGCCTTGTCTGGTTCCAGTTCAATGGGAATGATTCAATTTTTCCCCATTCAGTATGATGTTGGCTAGGGCTGTCATATATGGCTTGTATCATTTTTAGGTATGTCCCTTCTATGCTATTTTCTTAAGTGTATCAATAAGGGTGTTGAATTTGTCAAAAGCTTTTTCTGCATCTATTGAAAGAATCATGTGGTCTTTGTTTTTGTTCTGTTATGTGGTGAATTGCATTTATAGATTTACGTATGTTGAACCATCCCTGCATCCCTGGGATGAAGCCACTTGGTCGTGGTGGATTATTTTTTGATAAGTGTCTGGATTCGGCTAGCTAAGATTTGTTGAATTTTTGCATCTATATTCATTAGGGATATTGGTCTGTAGTTTTCTTTTTTTGTTGCATCCTTTCCTGGTTTGGTATCAGAGTAATATTCGCTTCATAAAAGGTGTCGGGGAGGTTTCCGTTCTTCTCGATGTTGTGGAATAGTTTCTGCAAGATAGGTACTAGTTCTTCTTTGTAAGTATGGTAAAATTCAGGTGTGAAGCCATCTGGACGGGACTTTTCTTTTTAGGGAGATTTTTAATTGCTGTTTCTATTCAGCTGTTGAGATTGGTCTGTTCAGGGAATCTATTTCTTCCTGGTTGAGCCTAGGGAGGCTGTGTGTTCTAGAAATTTGTCCATTTCCTCACACATTTTCTAGTTTGTGTGCATAAAGATTTTTGTAGTATTGATAAATTGTATCTTGTATCTCTTTGGGATCAGTTGTGATATCTCCTTTTTTATTCCTGATGGAGCTTATTAGAGATTTCTCTTTTCTGCTTTTCGTTAGCTTAGCCAATGGTGTGTCAATTTTTTTTATTTTTTCAAAGAACTAACTTTTTGTTTTATTAATCTCCTGAATAGCTTCCCTGTTTTCAATTTCATTTACTTCTGATTTGATCTTGTTGATTTCACTTCTTCTGCTGGGTTTGGGGTTGGTCTGTTCTTCTTTTTCCAGCTCTTTGAGTTGTTTCGTTAGATTGTCTATGTGTGATCTTCTTGTCTTTTGGTTATAGGCATTTATGGAGATAAACTTTCCTCTCAGAACTGCTTTAGCTGTGTCCCAGAGGAGTTGATAACTTGTCTCTCCATTGTCGTTTTCTTCATAGAACTTTTTTATTTCTGTCTTGATTTTTTCATTTACGAAGTAGTCATTTAGTAGGAGGTTGTTTAATTTCCACGTTTTTGTGTAGAAATGTGAGTTTCTGTTAGGGTTGATTTCTAGTTTTATTCCACTGTGATCTGAGAAGGTACGTGGTATGATTTCTATTTTTTTAAATTTCTTGAGATTTTCTTTGTGTCCTAGGATATGGTCAATCTTAGAGAATGTCCCATGAGCTGATGAGAAGAACGTATATTCAGTGGATTTGGGGTAGAATGTTCTGTAGATGTCTGTCAGACCCAATTGTTCTAGAGTTTGTTTAAGTAAGCCATTATTTTTTATTAATTTTCTGTTTGGAGATCTGTCTCGTGCCATCAGTGGGTGTTGAAATCTCCGGCGATTATGGAGTTGCTATTAATCCATTTGCTTAGCTCCAGTAAGGTTTGCTTTATGAATCTGGGTGCACCTAAGTTGGGTGCATATATATTTAAAATGTTATCTCTTCTTGTTGGACTGTGCCCTTCACCATTATATAATGACCCTCTTTGTCTTTTACTACTTTTGTTGGTTTAAAAATAAATCGTCTGAAATTAGAACTGCCACACCAGCCTTCTTTTGGCTTGTATTTGCTGGGAATATTGATCTCCCCACTTTTATTTTAGTCTATATGCATCCTTGCAGGTTAAATGTGTTTCCTGAAGACAGCAATATACTTGGCCTGTATTTTCTTATCCATTCAGCCAGCCTATGTCTCTTGGTGGAGAGTTTAAGCCATTCACATTTATTGAGAGAACTGATAGGTAGGGATTTTTTCCCAGCATATGTTTTGTCTGCTTTGTCAAAGATTAGATGGCTATATGAGGATGGTTTTTATATCAGGATTCTCACATCTGTTCCACTGGTCCATATTCCTATTTTTGTGCCAATACCATATTGTTTTAATTACTACAGCTTTGTAGTATAGTTTGATATCTGGCATATTAATGCCTCCATTTTGTTTTTGTTGCCTAGAATTGCTCTTGATATTGGGGTCTTTTTGGTTCCATACGAAGCATAAAATTATTTTTTCTATATCTGTGAAGAATGCTGATAGGATTTTAATAGGTATTGCATTGAATCTGTACATCAGTTTGGGTAGTATAGACATTTTGATGATGTTGAGTCTGCCGATCCACGAGCATGGTATGGATTTCCATCTGTTTACATCCTCTGAATATTTCCTTCTCCAGTGTTCATAGTTCTCCCTGTAGAGGTCTTTTACCTCTTTGGTTAAATATATTCCTAGGTACTTAATTTCTTTGTTGCTATTGTGAAGGGAATTGAGTCTTTGATTTGGTTCTCAATTAGATTGTTGTTGGCGTATATGAATGCCTCTGATTTCTGTGTATTGATTTTGTATCCAGAGACTTTACTAAATTCATTGATCAGTTCCAGGAGTTTCTGGTTGAATCCTTGGGGTTTCTAGATACAATATCATATCATCAGCAAACAGTGAAAGTTTGATCTCTTCTGCCCTAT